CTTATCGAATGAAACATACTGAACAGCCAAAGCTATATCGTAAATACCGAAAGGTCAGAATTTTGATGGGTAGGTGGCCTCTCTTAGGTCCCCTAGTTTCTCTTATAAGTTATGATCAGTTCTTGACACCAAGTATCAACGATCCCGTCATATCCTACATCACTTACTGAAGTGATGATTTTCCACTGTTAGTACGAAAAGTGTTATCCTACCAAATTTCAACGCTCTAGGTCCACGCAATCAGGAGTTATTAATTTGCGGCCCAATTTTTATTGCGCACGCATCGCCCCCTGTGCACGGAATCCCAACATAGGTATTCCCATCCTGCCCCCCGTATTCCTACCAAGTTTGAAAGCTCTCGGCCGACGGGAACAGCAGTCATGAATTTGTGGCCCAAAATTTCTATCGCGCACGCCCCGCCCCCTATAGGTGGAGCTCGATCCTGTTACCTGTCATAAGTGTTCCCATCCTGCCCCCCGTAATCTTACCAAATTTGAACGCTCTAGGTCCTGGGGGACAGGAGTTACGAATTTCCGGTCAGACACACACACCGACACACACACACACAAACACACCGACACACCAACAGACACACTTAGCGAATTATATAAAGTAGGATACTCTTCTTCTGAGCCGATAAAAGAGCGTGTTTCGGATCGCGACTTACATCTTTCTTTTGAAGTGTAGGGGATGTCCTGTCGAGATGAGTGAAGAAAAGTACCTAGTTCCTTCCGGTTTCCCACGATCTACTGCCTCCTGATGACCTACGGAAAAGTGCACTCACTACAATATCGGCACTTTGCCGTTGGTGTGAGGTGTCTCTCCTTGGTTCAGTGGAGATCAGTTTGCATTTGCTTTTCGGTTCCGTTTTTTTAAATAACGTGCTTAAACAATTGTTTTCGTGGCTTTAACTCAACCCTTTTATTTTCCAGTTGATTACTAATTGCTTCGGTATTGAATGTCTCCGATCGTAACTGCAGTTTTACTGTTGCTGGCAATTAACTCATTAGAAGCTTTGAATATCCTAGGTAAGGTATTTGCACGAGAAAAAAACTTTTTTGAAGTTTTCTTGTGAATGTTTCGTTTACTTTTCAGTTTGGACAAGCACAATTGGTCGCAGTCATACTAACTTTGTCGGCAGCATTGCTGACACCTTGAAAGAAGATGGTCACAACGTGGTGAGCTGGATGTCGCTCAATTTTTTCCACTTCCTCGTCTTTCATCTTGCATTTAGTCGTCCTCTAATTGGTTACTGTTTTATTAATTATTCATTCGTTCATTTTTTCTGACCATATTTTTCGTTGGGAATCTTTCGAATGTAGCATTCTCAAAATTTCCAAACGGAATCGTGTCGAGGAGGTTTTATTGTTATCAGGTAATGAAACGTACAACTTTCATTTTTTTGGCCCGAACTATTGATTTCTTGGCTTGAGGTTTTTCGTAGTTGGTGTTGGGATTGCAGCCCGTTGCCTCAGCTCCTACAGTCAAGGGTGCTTTTGTTGACGCTTTTTATAATAATTAGCAGTATGTTCAGTCCCAACACACACCTCTCGGTTAGCTGACACACCCGTGACTTCTTATGTAATGTGAACACCATGGTTAACTGGTGCGGTTTCTGGCTACCGGAGCTGTCATTAACGCCTTTGAAGATTTGTCTTCTCAATTTCTTCATAATCTCGCATAATACAATGGCGGCGGGTAGTTTATTGGCTACCTATGTATTGTACGATTGGAGGCGACTCATGTGGGTGTACAAATAAAAAATAGTTCAATCAATCAGAATGACGCTTATGATTAGTGCGCATTTACAGCAATTTCGTGTTGATAGGCTTTCCAACTTATTAGCTTTTACGGGGGACAGAACTCTCGTGCGTCCGAGGAAGAGCGCCGCGAAGTTTGTGGCGATTGAACGACTTTAGCGCCCATGATTGTGGCCCAAATTTGGAGTAGTGTAGATTAGTAGGATAGGTTGACCCTACTAAACTACTCTACCTCAAGTTTGTGCTCCAATTAGGTGTAAGAGTCACAGATGGCACTGGCTGGCCACGTGGCGACAACACTGGATAGATGAACGCAATCTGTCCAGTGTTGTCACCACGCGATCAGCCAGCGCCGTCGGTCGGTCGGTCGTTGAAGTCTGAAAGCGGCGAATTTCGCCGAGCATTTTGCCGCGCGCATCCTCGGACGCAAGTATGTACCCTAGCCCGTTTTCACTCATTAAATCCCTTCCGTAATAACTCTGCGCTTACAGACGTTGCTTTTGGTCGAGTTTGATTCGGATTTTATCAGCGAGACTGGGACGAAGCATGTTGAACACATAATACGGTAATATGCTTATATGCTTCAAATGAAATATGGTTTGCTATTTCCATTCCTTTTCTAGGTACAGCTCACCATATCACAACCCAGCTGACTGGTTTACATTAACTTTCAAGAAGGAACAAGTTTTCAATGTGGTTTTGGGACTTAATGTTCTCGATTTTGCTAAAATGCAACTCTTTGCTTACAATGTTTGCAAAGGTTAGTTGAATTGAGCATTCAGTTTCCAATGTTTGTAGGGTATTCGTACTAGATTTCGAGCGGACCACTTTCAAGCCTTCAAATCGCTGAACTAGCTTTATGACATTATATTCTGCTCTTAAGGAATTCTCGGCGATTCCTTGTTGATAGGAAAACTGCGAGAATCTCGATACGATATCGGCATTTTCGAAATGTTTCATAGCTGTCCCGCGGGTGTGATGGAATTGGCCGGTACAAAGAAGCTTTTTTTCCATGAATTTGAATGTGACTAGCTTCACTAAACTGATGTTAAGTTCAGGCATTCCCAAAACAATGCTTGTCTCAGCGATTGGCATGGGTTATCATCACTACCGCCTTCTCGGTATGGAAAAGCAGACTAGTTTCGTTCCGGGTATGATATACTGCAATCAGTTACCAAAATTTTTTCTTTTCGTATTTTCATTATTCGTCGAGTTGTCGTTCGACATAGACTGATGTTGTGAACACCTGTAATACTATGCGAAAGTAGATGGCTAGTTACTGTTCTTGACAGCCACCTTCACAATCTACGGAGGTCGAATGACGTTCCTTGGACGACTGTGCAATGAAGTCTTCAACGCTCTCGGTTCGTTCTTCTCCGCTTGCTTGATTTTTAGTTTTAAATCGTTCGGACTAGCTTCCAAAAAGATTCTTAGGTAACTGGATGCCGTACAGGTGATATTTTCGACAATTCAGCACATACCTGTTTTTCTAAATTCTGAAATTTATTTAATTATTTTATTTATTTTTGAAAACTTATTTCTCAATCTCAGCAATGACCGCGTATCAAAATCTGTCATTTACAGGCTGGTTGTTCGCCAACATTTGCGAATATTCTGAGCAAAATCTGTTTAACAGTATGTTTCCAGGATTTCCGCGACTACACAATTTGATTCAGGTATTTTGTCTTTTCTAATTTTCGTATCTACTTGCCACAGCTGGCGAAATTGATCTTTTGTTCGATCATACAGTATAAGTATAAGTAGAGGAAGGGTATCTACATTGCTTGACACGATAACCAAACACTTCATCGCTTCGTGAATAAGCGTGAGAAATCTTGCGCTAAATCAGGAAGCTGAGCATGCTCAAAGATCAGGATGTTACCTGTACTCTCTAGCAAACTATGTTGAAATAGTACTCCACGATGCCGTGAATTTTTCAAGGATAAGACCGACTATTTTCTGATGAACACCAATGAGTTCACGGAATCGACCCGTCCGACACTTCTCTCTATTCACCACGTTGGAGGATGTGCTATCTCGCCCCCTCAGCCGCTGAGTGAAGCAAGTTTAGCTCCGATTATATGATGATGAATTTTTTTATTGGTCTCATTATTTTGTTTATTAATCCTGCATTCAGGAATTTGAACGAATTGTTTCCAAGAGCTCTAAAGGTGTCATTCTTTTTTCTCTTGGCTCCTTGGTAAAATCAAGCGATATGCCCATGGACGTCCGTCGGGGTAAGCAGTACTGTACTTGTGCTTGCTTTAATTGAATCTTTTCAATCATAAATTAATTATTTCGTTTTATTGGTAAGAATTAGTTTTAAGCATTCACTGAAGCATTTCAATCATTCCCAGACTACGTGATCCTGTGGAAAGAAGACAGGAAATTCAACATCACAAACTCGAATATTTTCTACTATGATTGGATTCCACAGGTGGATCTTTTAGGTGAATTATTAATTTCAACAAGAATTTCTCAGACTTGTGTCGCTTGTTTGTTCTTACACAGTATTCAATGTTATTTGTGAAATAAAATATAGTGCAGCTGACGGGCGAGTGAAACTGTTCATAACCCACGCTGGAATGAATTCAATCCAAGAAGCGCTTCTCTTCGGTGTTCCAATGGTCACTGTTCCTCTATTCGCGGATCAGGTAAGAAGGGTGGTATTGAACTGCAGAAGATTTGATTTCTATTAAGTACTTGGTCTTTTTCACACTATCAGTTCCAAAATACCGAGGAAGACATAAAAACGTTCGAATAAGGTGAAACTCAAATATTATTTAAGTATACAAACGCGGCAGTAGCAGAAGAGCGCGGTTTCTCAGTCACATTGAATAAGCTGTCTCTTTCGCGTGAAGACATCATTAAGGCCATCAATACCGTACTCGGAGATAATGCAGAAAGGTTTGTGTGTCTGGTCATGTCTTCGTTCACCTTCGAATTTTTGGGAACAGTAGTGATAATATGTTTTTGATTGAGTCTCATAGTTGTCTTCATAGCAAATTACTTGGCTGACGTTTTCCTTCCTTCATGGATGCTTAGAAATGATGGAGTTGTTGAGATAGGTCAGGTTCCAAAGAGGATGTTGTTTCCGAAATTGCAAACAACAAAATTTGTTGTCAGTTCTTTCCTTTAACTCTCGCTCTCGGATCTGCAAAGTGTTTAGTGCTTATACAATGCGAGTTCGACAAGCAGCCCGACTTTTAAAAGGGAGTCCGGAGGAAATGCGAAGAAAGGTCAAAAGATTAGTCCGGATTTCCGGATCGGAACCTCCTCTGAATCACTTGAAACTTGACATAAATCATCTTAATCATGTTCAATACTATAACATTGATGTGTACATCTTCTTTAGTGCACTGTTTTGTTTTTCAATATTGGTATTCTATTATCTTACTGTGTGGACTGTTCAATCTATCTTGTTTTCAATGAAGAAAAAATCCGACTGATTTTCGTATGCTACCAGATTCTTTTTTTCTGTAAATAGCAAAGAAAAATGAATTCAATAACAATTATATTCATAGTACAGATTTAGAGTCAGGGTGTAATCAACTGTCACTTATTGCATGTGTCACTCTTTAACAGTAGGCGAAAATTGCTCTTTCTCATGTTGTATATTGTTGTGCTCGTTTCTCCTGAAAATGAATTTCAATTGAAGGGGTGAGTTGACGACAGGACGTAGTTATTCGCATCTACCGTATTACACTGTCTTTTTACCAATGTTCGTGAGCATTTGTTCTGCTGTGGTGAGATTATGAATGGAGGATTAGATTAGCTTCAGATTAAGACAAGGAGCAGAATACAATCGATCTAAAGGATTTGCAGAAGTCCGCATCAGAAAAGGCAACATCGCAATAATGTGAGTATTGGCAACCGAAGTGAGTTCGCTAATTAAAGGGGTTTTTTTTTCGAGGTGTCTATTAGGGTTTCGATTTTTGGAGTCTGAAAGTTCTCTCAGTACTTCCCAACTTCATTTCTGGTTTCATTAAGAGTGGGCAGATGAAGAACTGCACTCTATTTCACTGCACAGTTAAGCGGTCAGTGACTATTGTTGGACCTTCAGAACTTGGCCGCCTGTTATCTCATTGTGTTGTGCTAATTTCTGTATGGCTTATGGTCATATGCAGCTATCTCGAAGTATCTGATCTCTTTATTGCCGATCCTCAGGTGTCATACTATCATACTCACTATCTCCGCCTTGCAGTCGCCTCCTGAAGCTTCGATAATAATGTGTGGCTTTTGGTAACTATATGGTTCCCTTGAACCACTGAATCGTCTCAGCGAACACCTTCATGAGTGGGCGCTTTAATTGATTTCTCAAATCAATCGTTAAACTGTTCCTGAACCTCCAGTTCTGCTTTTGTTATGTTTCATTGTGTTTTTTGAAAACCTAAAGTAGCTCATAGTGAAGAATATAGTAACTTCCAGATCCATGATAACTATCCTCGTTAATTCACGAGGCCACGTTTGATAGGGCTCTAAGCGCCAGTTCACATCTTAATGTTTGTCTTTATGGTGCAACAATTGACCTCAAATATCTGTACATCTTTTGCTTGTCTGCAACAATGCCTCTAACAGCATGACATTAGTAAGGAAATATACCCATATAATCGGTGTTTGAGGAAATGACAAAGGTATGTCATGGTTTACATACATCTGTTTGGCATTGTGTTTGCCCGCGTGGTTTCATATAACTATTGTTTTTGTGTATCCAAAAAAAGCAAGCGAGGAATTCTCTAGTTTCCAAAATTCGTGGGATTTATATACTCGTAATCCTCGTGATCCTCAGGGTGGAATAATGCTGCAATTTCAGCCTAGAAACTACGAATTCAAACATCTGCTTGGCTATCTATTGTTCCCTACAAATATTGAGAAGCATCGCAATGGGACAAAATAGAAACAGCTTCCTATTTCCAAAAACATTCTCAAATCTTACTCTCCGGCCACGAACTAGCCCTTTCCCGTTCCTTTGCTCGATCCATGGTCTCCATATTAGACCGCTTCATCTAGTTCCAGTAATGTTTTCCGGGTGCTCGTTTTATCCATTTCCAGTTGTGTTTCATCCTTTTTACTTAGTGTGCCCTGTTGGCCTTGCGCATGCTTGACATGTAGTAAACAACAACAACAACATTTGCATCGACAGATAGCTTTCCGTACCTGTCCCGTAGATTTTCAGTGAACAAGGTGGAGTTCCCAGTTCTAGTCCATCGCAAGTTTTCATTGATCTCATAGCTCATAAGTTCGAATGAAATATACCATTAGGGTGTTGTTCTGCCAATAATCCACTGTGGATCTCTTGAGAGATACTCGCACTTACCCTTTCCTCGAATATTGTCACTTCTCGTGAGTAGTAACATTAGGTGCTTTAGATGTTACTGTACTTGCGTTCGCTTTATATTCACAGATATAAATACTGGTCCATAACTACGGTACTCGCCCAAGTGTTCGAAAAAAAATAAACATGCTGCTTTTCGTTTTTTTTTCTCTGAATAATCACGATGGGTACGGTACTAAAGCGTTATGGGGAGAGACTGGCCGCCGCCGTATATCTCTTACCAGGGAGGGGTGGTCTACTTATCTTGGAACTTTGAATTCAGA